GTTCTCCAGAACTTCAGTCAAGCCCTGTTCCAATGCAGGTATTTTCTGAAAGCACATTTCATTGTAGTAAATGTCCTTTTGTTCTTTAATCTTATCCATGTATTTTTCCATTAAACCAGCATTTAAGTTGTGCAGGCAGAGGAATGTGGAGAAGACATAATAGAGCCTGCCACACATATTACAACTACAATTGTGGATTCTAAAGTTCAGAACAGAGAAGTCAGGATAAGTGAAACTGACAAGGAAGATTTGGGTTTACCATGTCTGTCAGTTGAAATTCCCATGGATAAAATTGCTAGCAAAGCAGCTGGGATGTCTAGAAAGAGAATTAAGAAGTCAGTAGAAAACAGCCAAAGTAAGCGAGCCAAGATGACTACAAATAAGGCACGTAGAGCTCATAAAGAATCAGAACAAAGGCCTGGAAAAAGCATGCCAGAGGAGCAGTTTGGCAATAATGATAATGTATTCAATTTACCAAGGAAAACATCTAAACGGAACAAAAAGGTTTCCTTTGATGCTAATGTTGCAGAGGCAGCAGGAAATACATCTACTTCATCTGGTGGGACAAATCCTTTGTTCAAGGGTAAAAACAAAGTAATGATTGGTCTTCCAGATTTATTAGGTCACAAGAGGCAGAAAAGGGGAAGTAAACGTGAGAAAATTGGCAAAATGAAGGATAGTCTTAAACTAGAGAAACATAGCCCTAATTTAAGAGCCAAAAAGCCAGAAGAGTTGGATGAGAGGTTGACTCTGAAGCAATGTGGGGGTTTGATTTCTCATTCAGGTCAAAAAGTAGCTCCTGAGGAGGAGGGAGCTTTTGGTATGGATAGGGTACTTAGAAGATGTGGGGACAACCATGGAAAAAAGAAAAATAATTTGAAAATGGCAAGATGTTTCAAAGGAAATAAATCTGGAAATACTCTGACTGATCTGTATCAGAATGGTGATGGAGAGGTTGCTGCAGAAATTATTCCAAGCGTAGGAGCAGATCAGGAGAAACCTACCAGCAGAGAGACACAAAACCCAGCAGGTGTTCACCCGCAGGGTGCGTCCAGTCCTAACAAAATTCAGTGTGCATTCTGTCAATCTGCTGAAGACTCTGAGGTACCAACGCCTTTGATTTCGAGTATAGTCTTTCCTAAGTCCTCAATCAATTGATTTCTATTCTTGCTTGCTGAGTCAACAGCATAATCCATTTTCTCTACAAATCTATAGGCTTCAGGTGTCATGGTTCATTACCTCAAAGGCAAGCCCATTTCAGGTGACGAGATTAGAGGACCAAATGTCATACATTCTCACAAGTATTGCACAGAATGGTATAAATGCCTCCCAAGTTCTGTAAAGTTAACACTTACATGTTCAAACAATCAACATATGGTTCGCAAGATTGTATTGCAAATGCTTGCTAGGCACTCAACTTCATTCTTAGTGACTTCTTATGACACTCAGTATTTTCCTTTAGCATCAAGTATAATGCTAAGCAGAATGGATTATGATGCTCAAAAATTTAATTTCATATTTCAGCAAACATTTGGTGTTTCTAACATTCAGTAAGTTTAGATTTTGACTGTCTTTAAAATGAGCTCCCAGTATATTCAAATGATTATAGGGAAAAAACAAAACTGACAATTTTGCAGGTGAAATGCATTCTGAGACTTACATTAAGGCTTCCGCATCCAATAGTTGTAGGCTTGAAACCATTGGCTGTTGATACTACATTAACGCTTGTAAGCACATCTGCAGGGCTCCTAATGTATTTTTTCAAGATGATAATGCAATTAACCTTGAAGCTGAGTTGGCAAGAAGTCGAAAGATAAAGTGTGGTTTATGTGGAATGCGAGGGGCAGCTCTTGGGTGTTTCCAGAAGAGTTGCCGCAAGAGCTTTCATGTTACATGTGCAAAGTTGACCCCAAACTTTCGATGGGATTATGTAAGTGTAAAAATTGATTCAGCTCCAATGAGGCACTGATATTGTCATGCAAATTAACTTGTTTTGGTTGCAGGATAACTTTGTAGCATTATGTCCCCTTCATGCCAGTTGTAAAATGCCATGTGAAGCAACTGGATCTGAATCCAACACAAAGAGGAAATCTGCTCCCAAAGGGTCTGTTGATTTCCAAAAACTGCTCCTTCAACTTCTTTTCCACAAAATCTTAAGCCTCCCAGTCTCAAGAGCCCCAAACCCCCCATTGCCATCCCAGCTATTTGCTTAACCAAGAATTTATTGTTTCTTATTCCTAATTACATTTATTTCACAGGGATTATCATATCCAAGGGCCACAAGTGGTTAAGGATGATGTTAAAGAACATCTGCAGTGGAAATGTGACAAAAAGGCCAAAAACTTGATTCTCTGCTGTTCAGGCCTCACTAATGCTGAGAAGGTAAACAAAGGCCTATGGAGTATAGTTGGCAACTTGGCGTGAACTCAAACAAGCTCATTCAGTCAACTAATAAACTTAATTCATTGGAATTGCAGGATATTGTTTCCCAATTTCAGCAGTTGTCTGGAGTTATAGCACTGAAGAATTGGGATCTAAGTGTGACCCACATTGTTGCATCTACTGATGAGAATGGGGTTTGCAAAAGAACCCTCAAATTTATGATGGGTGTCTTGGAGGGGAAATGGATTGTGAACATTGAATGTCAGTAACAATGTTTTTCTACACACTGATTAAACTTATCTTAATTGAATCTGTTAAATCAATTCAAGTAGTTACAGTTTATGATTTTGCAGAAGATGATTCTCTTAATTGATTTATTTGGTTTAATTTAATTCTTGTTTCTGCTTAATCATCTTGCTGGCTTTGTTCCCACAGGGGTTAAGGCCTGCATTAAGTTAATGGAACTTGTTGATGAGGAGCTTTATGAAATCAAGGTTGATAGCCATGGAATCAGGGATGGTCCTAGCCGTGGAAGATCAAGACTTCTGGACAAGGTTATTTTCTATCTACACTTCGTTTTATGTGAATGAGCTTGTAAGTTAACTAGATCGATCAAATTGCATGAACAAAGTCTGATACCATCTCCAAGCCAGGGTTAGAAAATCTGAGTCATGTGTAATCATAAGGGTGGTTTGAATGTCAAAGCTTATGATTACTTCTTTTGAGACTTGTCCAAGTACTTTTAAATTTGCAGTAGTAGAGATGTTTACAAATGTTATTTCAATTATCTTTGTATCTTTTGTAATACTACGTCCTCTTTACATTCTCCGTCTTTCTATACTACCTTTTTGCTGGAAACCATTACTTTAGTCAAAGTTTGACTTTTTTCCATTTGTAGTCGGGACCCTTTGCTCCCAGGGTCTTGTATGCTTCAACTCATTTTACAGATCTATCAATGTTGATGCAGCAATTGATACGTTAAGTATACTTCTTTTTTTCTCCTTGATTTTGCAAAAGAAAATGGAACTTTGACTGTCAATTCTATGAACTTGCAGAAGCCAAAGCTCTTCAGTGGGTACAAATTCTATTTTCTGGGCGAATTTGTTCCTTCATACAAAGGGTATCTTCATGATCTGGTTATTGCTGCTGGAGGAACTGTACTAAACAGAAAGCCTATTTCTGAAGAGCAGAAAATCTTTTCATCGGAGTGCCCTCCTTCAACTACTTTCATTGTTTATAGCCTTGAGCAACCGGAGAAATGTGGGGCAAGCAAGAGAAACACAATACTGAACCGTAGACGTTTTGATGCAGAGGCTTTAGCTAGTTCCACAAGAGCTGTTGCAGTAAGCAATTCATGGATTTTGAACTCAATTGCTGGCTGCAAATTGCAAAACCTTCCGGAATGATGTTTCATATTGCATTTCATCTTCATTGGCATTTTCAACTAGAACATTTATCTGTCATTTTGATATGACATTCTTGCTAATTATCTATACAATGTAAAATGATGAAATATTATCAAAATTTCTTATGACACATTTTTTGGGAAATTATTTAAATGATCAGATGGAGAAGGGAAACACAACTGAAGTAGGAGAATTGAGTATGCTTGGGTGATGGCATTCTGAATGCTAGACTTTGCCAAGGCAAGCAGCGCCTGAAAATGAGAATACAGTCTGAGTCCATCTTTTATGTGAATGTAACGCTCATCTTTTATGTGAATGTAATGCTTGACGTGTACTGCCAAAGTGAAGTACATTGAAATTTTACTCAGCAAATGGATTAGTCCTATTTGAAATTATGGATGCATAAGGTAGTAGAGAGAATAGAATTCCCAAAAGATTCAGGAGGGAGTTCTTGCTAGTTACAAATTAAGCAGTTAGATAAGAAGCTACGAGTGCAATGTCACAGGTCTTCCATACATCAATTCTGGTCTGCATTGTGTTATATCGGCTGTGCTTGTGCCCCATGAATGCTTTGCTAACCAATTTTTAGTGCCATCTTCAAGCTCTGAGCTGTAACAAGGTCAAGCCAAGTACACAATCTCCACCAATGCTGCCGGAGTAAGGTTCAAAAGCAGATCTATTGCATCACGGGCAATAGATGCTGGTTGATTGAAAGCACCTTTCAGCAATCTCAACCTGCTGTTTCCGTGAACATCTTCATGACAAGTAATTGAAGCATGCGATCCTGCATTTTGCTTGTCACTACTCTCAACTATCATCAGATGCAGTGTTTTGATAGTTATATTCTGTGGCAAAGCCAAAATTTTTTCACAATATAAACTCAAAAGCCAAGTCATTATACCACCCGGACAACCCAGATCGTCATTTGCATTGTATCCAATAAGTTCTTGTTACTGAAATGTCGCTGTTTTAAGTTGAAATGCTGTTTCTATATGTCAGAGTTCACCCAGCAACATCCTGTTTGTTGGTACAAGAAAATGAAAAATTTTGTTTATTTGTTATAGTTAAGCACAGATGCCATTTAGGGTGCGTTTGGTTCCCATGGAATTGAGGTTTAGAATTGGAATTGGGGTTCCAATTTCAATTCTGTCGTTCGGATTCTGCTCCACTCAAAGAATTAGAATTGAATCTGAATCAATTCCATGAATTGAATTCTTTACTGGATCAAAAGAATTCTAATTCCAATTCCACAACTAAACCCTGATAAACGGGTCTACACGCGGATCTAATATGGGTCAAAAATTAAAATCGGGTCAAGCAGAAATATGAAACACAGGCATTCTCTCTCCATCCCGATCGCTCCTTCTCCACCATCTTTCCTACTCCAACCTAACCTCTCCCACTACGGTCTCCCTCTGCCTTCCGTTTCTGTGGATTGTAGTCGACAATTTTGTTGGCGAGCACGCCTTGAGGTAGGCTAACCTTCAAGAGTCAGAGAGACGGAGATCTGTTGTGCATATGCATCTTTTTGGGTTTATCTAAATTCGTCCCTATCAGTTGTCCCTATCAGTCCCTATAATCATGCGACTGAATATGAGTTGGCCTTTCGGCCCCATAATCTTATAATCCTCTTTCTAGGTTCTTTCCTTCAGCTTTTCTGCTTTCCCCAAATTTTAGACACATTTAGGGCTTGTGAAAGGTAACTTTATCTTTGAAATTTTTTCAATTAATCATTGGTTATGGGCTTTATTACATAGCTTTTTTTCATTGAATACATTGCAATGATTTGTTCTGTTTTCATTTCTATTTTTTCTTGTGATGAGTGCTAATTCACCATCTTGCTCTGTTATCTCTGTGTTTTAGGATGGAGATGGTAGTCTTGGAAGAGGGTTTATGATTGTAGTGTTTTCTAGTTTTTAGTTCAATAAGAATGAGCAGGTAGCACTTGTGAATGTGATAGCCCGTTTCCCGACTTTTTTTCCTGTTGCAATGCGCTACACATCAATGATATCTGCTCTTTTTTTTTTTTGGGTTACAGAGATATCTGCTCTTACATTAGTAGCTCTCTAAGTTCTAGTGGAGGTGCTTGATTCCAAATGGGTTTTGACTGAGTTGGAGTTGAATATGAAATCATGTGAAGTCTGTATAGAAGAAATTCTAAAGGCTTAATAGCCAAATACATCAAAAGTTAATTTTTTTTCAAAAAGATTGTAGTGTTTTCTGTGTCTAATGGTATATTGTGGCATTAATTTAAATATTAATCAATTCCCTAGTTGATTTTTCATCTCATGTAAATTGTCAAGACGTTTGCTTCATGGTCTTTATTTCTATAAGCATGAGCTACTGTTGATTGGGATTCTTGATGTCAATTAGTAATTATATATCCTGAATAATTATTAACTATCCAGTTATTAGTTTGGTGCAATAAACTGAGATACTTTGTATGGGTGGCAACGTTTACTGATTAAGTGCTAGTTAATTGTTCCTGAAATGGTTGCTTGTCTTCAGTTTTTGCATGCTTTATGGTAAAAGCATGCATTAGTTATTCACAAATATTCAGAATACCTTGAACACCAATCTGCTTATGCGCTATATGCTAGTATATTGGTTTTCTACTAAGTTACACAAGCTGAGTGGGAAAATTTTTGGACTGAAGAGCAAAGGAAGATTATTCCTTTTTGTTTTTGTATTCTGTTGAGAAGGTAGGTTTCAACCTCTTGATCAGTGTCTGGCTCGTGAATACCGGATATTCTTGATTTGCATTTCTAAACAAGTGTAATGATTTCTGTGAGGTATGATTTACTCCCACATTGCTCTTATCCAATTCATTGAACACAGTTTTGTTTCCATATTAACTTTGAGTTTGAACATAATATGTAAGGTGTTCATGCGAGATTGGTAGACAAGGACTTTGCTCCAAAGGTATCTATTAATCTATGTTATAAATGTCAATTTTCTTGGGAGGCGCTGAACATTAGATGAGAATGATATTAAGAAACAAGAGGAAAAGCTAGAGGCAGGTGCTTCCTTTATTGGATGAAGTTGATGCTGAGATGCGAAGAGTACAACATGGGTTGATGAAGATGAAATGGAAAATGAAGAAGAGGAAGATGGAATGGAAGATAATGGTCCAAATAATGATGGTGGCATAAATGCTATTAATGAGGAATCGAACAAGGGAGTGGACACAATTTTGGAATGCTCTAGCACGAGCAATGATTGTTGACTATCAAATTAGACAAAGCTATTATGCAAGTTGAAGTTTGATAGGAACTTATTCAGACTTAATTGAATATTCGAGTGGCCATTTACTAAAGAATAGTAGTAATGTATAATTGTGCTTTTCTTTCGCATTTTTTTTTTTGCTTAAATCACTTTGTTTGCATATTTATCTATTGAAATTTTTTGTAAGATGCAAAACTCAAACATTTATGATAGGTACATGCTATGACTTCCCTCCCCAGTTCATATAATAGAGTAGGTTTTTAATTTTCTAAAATTTAAAGTTCCTAACTTAAAAAAAAGTAGCAAGGTTTTAACTTGATAAATATGAACTACTTTTTAAGTTAGAATATGTAATTAGTTTTTTATTTAATATAATTTAATTAAGAATATTTTTTCTTGCAGAAAAGGAACTAATTGGTTTATTTCTTTAAAGCTTTAGTAGCAATTAGTTAAATGGAAGAAAAAAATTATTAAAGGCACTAATTGGTTTTTTGCTTGAAGCTTCAGTAACAATTAGCTTAGTGTTAAAAAAGTATTACATAGGAAAAAGAAAAAAAGAAAAATTTTATGTAAGCAAATGTTGGATGGAAACAATTCTAATTTTTAATGAATTCTTCTCCCATCCAAACAAAGAACTTGGAATTCAATTCGTATCAATTTTATGCATTTTCCAAGCAAAAGAATTCCAATGTTTTGGAATTCCAATTCATAGAAATCTAATTCTATAGAATTTCAATTCCAATTTAATTCCAATTCTGTAGAGCCAAATGCACCCTTAAGGTAACCCTTGATGATTTGCACAGCTCCTTAGGCAGTGACATTATGATAAGTGAATGATGCTGTCTCAGGTGATTCCAAAAGTAGGAACACCCTGTAAGGGCATCTACAGTGGATTAGAATATAATTCATATGTCACATCAGTATTTTACTATTTTCTCTTTTATTATACTATCACTCACAATGAATTACACTCTGCACGGTATAATAATATGGGTCTACAATCAAATCAAACATTTATTTTCAGGTTCTTTCGAGCATCTTGTCATCATCCACACTCCATGGAATGCATTTGCAATTAGGTTCTTCCACCGCCACATTGGTGAGAGTAATGTTTTCCACCCCTCATTGTGTTGAATACGGTGGAAATTGGGAGTCCGACATTGATTCCATTGATGTTGCATTTTCCTGCTGCCCGACGAAATCAAAATGCTTCCTTATCTCCGATGGAGTTTTTGAACCTCCACAACCCATACCAAGGTTATAATATATGATGTGTAGTGCTTTCTCATATTCGGATTAAAATAAGTAGGTCGCGGATACATGGAAATTGGATATGAAAATTTTGGTGGATTTTGAAAATTTGTTGGATGGTTGGAAGTGGATAAATTTAAGGGATATGCATAATTTTGCACATTCGTAGGAATACCAGAAAATGAGAAATTTGGGTAATTTGGGAAATTTTGGTGGTTTTGATTTTGTGAGGAAGATGAATTTTCTATGTTTGGAGCATTTAACATATTTGTAACACTAATAAAATTCTCATCCATAATCACAAAATATTGAAATTTTGAAAAATTGTGCAAAGAGGTTGAGCAAAATGAGTGAGAGAGTAATAGAAATAATAGAGTAGAATAGTGAGATATGAAAAAAAAGGGGTGACTTGTGTGTTTTATATTGAGAGAACCAAAACATGACCGTTGAAAAAAAATTTTGAACGTTGTAAATTTAACTTGCTGCACCAAATTTTAGCCATTGTCCGTGCCAAAACAAATTTATCTATTGCTCCAAAATGGCCCACCATTTCTCTTTTTCAGCAACATTACATGCATCAGGCCACAATGGTTGGCCGTGGAATGAGGCCGTGTCATGGGAGGCATTGACACTCCACGGGAGATGCTCTGACAATCAGTAAAGGTACAAAAGTACTCCTAATTTCTTGGACCTAAAAGTCTATTGATGCCTAGCTTGTGAGGACTATTTGCAGGTGTGTTTGGATCTTGGAAAACTAAGTGAACTCCACATTCTCCTTGAATATCTTAAATAGCTTTTGGCTTTTCTGCATCAGCTGGGTGCATAATCCACGTACATACTCAGTCATCAACTGCTCATGTCTCTTGAGGATGGAAGCCTGGTAAATCATGCTGGCTGTGACACAACATGCACATAATCTGCTGGCTAACAATAATCAAAGGATCATATATGTGGAACTTGATGCCTTGTTTATCAAACTTACTGTTCTGGCTTCAGCAAAGTATACATGTTCACTATGGATGTAAATCAATAGGGACACATACTAGTGTTTTTAGAAAACGTGCTATCTACAGACTTCCATAAGTTATTGCTCTGGGGAAAACAGACGAAACAGCAAGTCTACCATTTATTACATGGATGTTGTGAACTCGTGATAAGGAACAGAACCGAATTAAGAGCTTGGCAAGGAGTGTATGACATTAAGTTATTGGCGTTACAGATTTCCTAGACGTTTCTCTACTTGTATTTTTCTATTTCAATTTCTGCTCAAAGTCAGTTTAACGCATGTATTTCTACTCCAGCGTAGGACAATGAGAGTGATTTACTATGGTTCTATTAGTCCTGTAATTTCAGTTTATATGTTAAATGCATGGTAGTTCTGGTTCAGGTCGCAGTTGCAACTCTTCAGTCTCTTGGACTTGCTGATCACAGGCCTTGGTTGTTGGTTCAGGCAGCCATAGTCACGGACAAGAATCATCCTTGCTTCAAGAATATGCAAATCCATGTTCATTTTTAATATTATAGTACAAAAGTATTGTAGTACCAAGTAGAAAGTAGTAATGAGCATTTAGAATTCTTTGCCTAAGATTTATCTTACAATGCATTAATGACCCATGCAAAGGAAGAAAGCAAATTCACCAGCTAGACTTCCCCATGCATGTCATTAGTCATCATTTGATTATTGTCATAATTTATACCAAATTCACATAAACCAAGTACCAAATGTCAATGGAATAACAAGAAAATGTCCACATTAAATCCATTTTTCGTTTTAGTGAATTATTACTCAACATACAATGGGTGCTGCGATCGGATAACTTTTCTTAGTTTTCTAATTAAGACATATGCTGCTAAGTAATTACTGTAATTGATGAAGCCAAATCCAATGGGGAGTACAAATTTGGTTTTCTAGCTGCACCATAGAGCAATAAAGAGCACAAAAGAATACCTTGCTTCACCATAGATATTGAGGGCATATCAGTCACAATATTATTTTTTGCACTAAAGTTAGCTTTATTTAAAATTGTGAAAAAAGAAAAAAAAAAAAGAAGAAGTTCCGGGAGTTAGGTGCAAAAATATTAAACGTTGGGGCACAAAGTGTGATTTTAGTATAATTGAGAGGTGCAAAGTAAAATTAATCCTTAGGTTTTAACTTTTGATATCCTGTAACTCAAATGATTCTTATAATGAGTTTTGGATTCCATAGCCGCTAATAAGAAATTCACAGACACAAAGATAACATCATGTCAGATTAAAAGGGCTTTCTAGAATTGGATAAATTCTATTTTGTACCTTAAACTCTTCAACCTCACTTTGCTTCCATAATTGGCGGATTATAAAAACTACGTAATGACTCATTAATTTTATGAAATCCACCATTAGTTGAACCAAATGGTTCAAACTTGCCGAAATTAGGGTGAAGTGTACCAAATCACGTTTTGGAGTACAAAATATCCCAAATTTAATGAACTTGTTTGGAGTAAGAATGAACGTAGTATTTAAGGGTGCAAAATGAAATTTACCCCATCACAAAATTATGAATTTTATATGCATTGAACTTCACACCATGAGCCAAAAGGACGTTTGAGAATTTGCCTATTTTTTCCTCTTTGGACTCCGCAAGCATATTCTCCATCTTATATTGTATAAAGCAATTTTATTCTAGTGTAGATCATTTCAGTAAACCCTCCTGACGTATGGACTCATTGCACGCCAATTGTTCACATTTTTATTATTTTTAAAAATACTAGCAATTTAAGTGATTTAGCTTTTAGTATCTTTAAAGTGAAGTTTATAGAGTAAAAATTAAAAATACGATTTGAGAATCAATAAAAACATTACATTCACCAAATGAAAAATTTTCAACGGTTTGAAGAAATTTTTTAGTACCCTCAGAGCTTTGTAAATAATCAACTAGTATAGCAGGGAAGGAAAAAAAATTGAACTATTAAAAATTTAAAAAAAGATATTCCATAAATATGAGGACTGAGGAGGGACTGAACTACACAAATTTTTTTAAAAAAAAAGGGAAAAAAGAAATGGAGTGGATAGTGGAGGGAGGATAGTAAATGAAGAGATTGGCCTGAAAGAATGAAGAGAAGATGGTGACGATTGACGATTGAGTAGGAGTAGAACTAGGAGCAAATGATGACGTTTGACTAAAAAGAAAAAAAGAATGAAGAGAAGAAAATGAAAAGGAAGAGAAACCGAAGAATGCCAAAAAAAAAAGCTAGAAAAAATATTTCTAAGAAAGATTTTGTCCAGAAATATTTAGACACTGTTTGATTTGAAGGAAAGAAAGGGAAAGACAAGGATATTGACAGAAAAGAAAGGAAAAGAGAGCATAGGGAGAGTGGTTTCCATCTATTTTGTGTGGATTAAATATGGAACGAAAAGAAAAGAAATACTAAATTTTTATTTGGTTTGAAGAAGGTAAAGAAAGGAAAATAAAAGATCAAACATTAATTTACTGGAAAATTTATCTTTTAAAAATTTAAATTATTTAAATTAATTTAATTTCATTTCCCTCCATTTTCACTCACTTTTGGACGGAAATTATAATTCAACAAACTAACTAGACCCTTTCCCTCCCTATCCTTTCTCTCCTCAAAAATGAATTCAAACAACAAAAACTAAATCCCTTAAATTTCTCTCCTTTCCTTTGTCACCCGTTCTCTCAATCCAAATGGTGCCTTAATAAATCTAACTGCTTTACATAGAATATTACTTGAGTTTTTTAGCAAAACACTCCTATTTGTATCCAGTTCATCATAATATGCTTTCTAATCTAATTACAATGGATTAAAATAAAGCTAATACCGAGTGTGTTCGGATAGCCATTATTTGATTTCAAATTATTTACTTGCATCACAAATAC